ATTCCCTCTGGTGGATCCAGAAGTGACCATACTTGATTAGCATGCATTGATTCTGTCCCAAAATTCATTGCTTCCAACCATTTTCTTAAATCTCTATCCAGTATTGCTTTTTCATAGCTTTTAGGATCATCACCATGATCATCTACTCCCACTAAGTAAGATTCAAAATCTTGCTCTTGTACGAACCCATATCTTTCCAGAGGTTTAGATATTCTAGAAGATTTTTGCACTGGAGCCAGAATATCAGATACTAAGGTTCGCTAAGTGGATGTTCCAGCATCAACGACCTTGGCTTTTCGGACTCTTCCTTTAGTTCAATATTTCTTTCAACACCGCCTTCCTCTAAGAACTCATTCTTGAGAAAACATCCAGTTCTACTTATCAAAACTCTTTGATCAGACGAGAAGTAAAAGTAATAACCTAAACTATCTTTAGGATACCCAATGAGCCGACTCTTCTCGAATATAACATCCAGCTTATCAGATTTAACTAATTTAACATAAGCTGGGCAACCCTAAATCTTCATGTAATTTAGACTTGGATGTTTTCCATACCATATCTCTTATGAAGTTTTCTAAACAGATTTAGACAAGACCCTTTTAAGGATGCGCAGAGTGGTCTAGATAGCATATCCACATAACGACGTTGGCAAGTCTGTAAAACTTACCATTGATCGCACCATATCTAATAGGGTACGATTCCTCCTTTTAGACACTCCATTAATCTAGGGTGTATATGAAGGAGTTAACTGTGAGATGATCCCATTTGCCTTTAAAACTCTTGAAACTCTATACTCAAGTATTCACCTCCACAATCTGATCGTAGTGTTTAGTACTCTTTCTAGTCTGTTTTTCTACTTCATTCTTGAATTCTCTGAACTTTTCAAAGGATTTGGACTTGTATTTCATTAAATACAAATACCCATACCACCGTGATATATCATCAGTAAATGTAATGAAGAATTCAAATCATCCCCGAGCAAAAGTATTGAGTGGTCCACATACACTATTTGTATGAGTTCCAAAATTTCTTTAGCTCACTCTCCTTTACTCTTAAAAGAAAACTTGGTCATCTTTCCCTGGAGACGTGATTCATAGGTTGGATAGGGTTCAAAACCCAATGAGTCTATGATTCCACTTTCTCCAAGCTGTACTAATCTTCTCTCTCCTATATGATCCAATCTATGATGCCATAGAATTTTAGGATTTGTTTAATATTGAGTTCTTTCATTGGTATAGAGTTGATTGAATTATAATCATTCAGTTCTAATATATACAAACCATTTGAATTTATAGCTTTACCAACTAAAACATTTCCAAAATGTATTAAACATTTATTTCCAATTAAACAGTACATGGTAAAATACTTTACACAAAACAGAAATAGAAATGATGTTTCTAGTGACTTTCTCAAAGTACAATACTTTATACAAATTTAAAACATGTCCTGATGGTAGTCTTATTGGGCAAGTCCCCATGGCCTCGGCTGCAATGCATGCCCCATTTGCCATCCTCAAAATGATCTCGACCTTTGCCACTATAGAACTATTCTGAACTACCTGCAAAGACATACAAACATGTGATGTTGCTGCTAAATCTAATTTCCAAGAATGATTATCTGAATTAACAATTAATTCATATTCAATCATAAGACATTGGTTCATAACTGCTTTTCCTTTGCCCTTTCTCAGACTGTCCAGGTACTAACGACAGTTCCTCTTCCAGTGTCCATCTTCCCCATAGTGGAAACATTTTCCTTTTGCATTGGCCTTCTCTACCTTTGCCGTTGGCTTCTTGAAGTTCTTTTTTTTACGTCCAACTTTTGGTACTTTCTTCTATTGCATTTTCGGCATTTTATTGGCCCTGCTCATGGAGGCGGCAAAAACATTATCATGTCCTTTTCCTTTCATATTCCACTTATAGAATTCTTGAAGCTCATTGAGCAACTCTGGGAGAGCTCGCTCAATCCTATTCAGTTTGTAGTCAGTTATAAACGGTTTATAACTTGGAGGAAGTAGTTATGGAATCAAATTCACTTTGACGCAGTCTGGCATGAGCACCCCATACACATCTGGCTGTCCTAATCCATTGATTATCTGAATTGTATGATCATTTGGAGGTACTCCTTCCCTCGGCTTCATGTTAAAAAGGGAAGCACACAACTCATACTCAACCACTCTTGGATTCTCATTGTATAACTCTTGTAGAGCTGCGAGGATATCATAAGCGTTTGAAACTTTTTCATGCTTGGTTTGAAGTTCTCTATTCATTGAAGCAAGCATGTAATTACAAGCCCTCCTACTATCCTCTTTCCATTTTTCAAGAACATCTCGCTCATCTTGAGGAGCATCGGGTCCAATATCGAGTGGAAGAGGTGCTTCCAAGACATAAGCTATCCTTTCGAAATCCAGAACAATTCTGATATTTCTTAGCCAATCCCTAAAGGTGGTTTCAATTAATATGTTATTGTCCATTATCCTTAGGAGAACGTTGTTGGCCATTTTTCTTGATTAGTTATCAAAATTTTAAGATGAAACTGCAAAGAAAAATAAATGTTTATTAGTGTCTTCTTATCTTAAACCCTTTTACTGCATAATCAAATTAGCTCTCACTATTTTATTCAAGTCCCACACTCCCTTAGGCAGGATCTGGAAATTTTCGTTGGATTAAATTTATTAGTGCGGAATCAATTTCTTATTAAATTCAATCAACCTCACATAATAGAAGTCTTGGTCAATTAAATTTAATAAGTAGGAAACTATTTTCCTTTTATATCACTATATAAGACTTGATTCATACTCCTTGCCCTAGCTTCAGATACCTCACATAATAGAAGTCTTGGTACCCTAGGTTAGTTAAATCCAAACCATTATGCTTTCTTAAAATGGCATTTTCATCATGTCCTCACCTAATAGAATCTTGGTCAAGATGAAAATATACATCCAAGAACAAGATTAACTTAATTTTATGACATAAAGATCATATCCCTCACATAATACAAATCTTGGGATATTAAAATTTATGTTAAAGAATTTTGTTATCTCATAATGGGAGGCATGGATTTAATAATTTTCATTAGGGAGATTTAGGTTTAACTTTAGTTAATTTTAACATGCTTATTTAACATTCACTCCATACATATCACATATATATATGCATAACTAGTTGAAAGGCCCGTGCGTTGCGTGGGTTGTTATGGAAGTGGCTTTGATACCATGTTTGTTTGAATAATTGGATGTTTCAATTGGTTGCTATCTACTATAGAGGTACAAGCATTATATAGGTCAAAAATGATCGACTGAACCTCCTAATTATGTTAGTTAAAAATTACAGCATATACTGACATAATTAGGAAATTATACAATATAAATAGTATCCTAAAACAGACAAAAATAATAGATTATAAAATATTTGTGATAGTGTTTAATTGAATGTTCAATTACAATTTGATATAAATATTACATATTGATGTATACCAATTTAATCCAAACAAGTAATATTAAATTGTATGATTAATATTATTTGGACCGGTGGTCCTTGACAAAGTTTTACTTTTGAACCAACGGTCCAACTGTTTTTGTGTGAAAATCAAGTTACTACTTATTTAGGGTTCTCTTCTTTTTCCTTTTTTCATTTCTTTTTAATTCCTATATTAAATGTATTTATGTTTTGGTACATGATTGATAGCCTGAAACAAAGGTAATCAATATTAAATTGTTAGATAATTGTTATTTTTTGCTATTGCCCGTTTATTGTTATTTATTTTTACTGTAAACTAACGTAGGTATATACGATTTGTAGGGGAAAAAAAATTGCTCCTCATAGCTACTGTATGCTTCCTGCTAAAGGTAATGTAATTCCCTGAAACTCTTTTGACTATTGATTTATTTATAGCATAATCAAAATGATGCCTTCATCCTTTAAATCTTGGTTCTGGCTTATCAATGTCAGCTCCTTGATCTAAGAAAAACTTAACTATTTCAACATTTCCTTCACTGATAGTCGATAGATATAGATACATAGAAAAATAGATATAGATACATAGGTATGTTGTGCTGAACCATTACTCTATATTAATAGTGGGTAAATTATCTCTTGTGCTACCAAAGTATTGAAATGGATCATATTAATAGTGAGGTAAACCATAGTAATCCAATCAATGATTAATAGAGATGGATGACTGCAGAATTAAAAGTAATAGGAGGTGTTATGCCCAAAAAGTCAACTGATTATAGTAATATACTAGCAGCCTACAATATCATTGTTGAAGCTTAAAACACATCTTCAAATATTTATTTGATAATTGTGCTGCCGAACCATAAGTGGCTGTGTAAAATTTGGATGTATGTGATTCATAAGTGGCTCTTTAAAGGCTACGAACGAAAATTTATAGCATGATTTGTTGGGTAATGCCGAACAGAAATTATAGCATATTGTTCAACATGTTATGAATGGTGCAGTCGAACCATAATGATGCGTATAATCCATATTGATGTGTTTTAAGCTCATCAGCCAAAATTAATTCTTAATGGTTCACAATTTGATGTATGTGGTTCATTATCAATTATCAAATAAATATTAAATAGGCTGCCGAACCATAGCCTAAACACATCTTCATTTCCCACTATATTTTAACAACATTATCCCTTGCGCTGTAACTATTGAAAAACACTCCCAAAATAGGTAAATAAAGACAGCAATCATGTAGCTGGCACATTCTATTTCATGGATTCTCAAATACAATGGGTCATGGATTTTACTCAAACATGTGCTAGGCCAATGGGCAAATCACTTTTCTAGCCTATAGGGATTACTGTTTTCATTTACATATGGTTCAACTTTGAAAAACCTCATCACATTGATTTAATTATGCAATATGTTAAAACAACAGAAAACTAATAATTGATTCGTGTAGAGTATCCTTTCTGTTATAATGTATTAAATAATACAATGTATTCTCCAAATAACAAAGTCCAACATAAAAGTAAACTGACTTTCAAGACTAACCTTTGCCTCATCATCCCTGACTGAATGAAGGCGAAAGCAGCCCTTAGTGTCATAAAGCAGACAAAGTTCTCATTTGTCTTTGGAATTGATACAACATCTGCCAATAGATACGACATGTACAAAATTTCAAAAAGAATATAAAAAAAGCTAAATGAAGGGGACTAAAATTATGAAAATCATATCCAAATGTGGATCTATCTCGAACTTAAATTGGAATTTAAGTCTTCCCAGTATAATGTTTCAACTCATATCACAATATTAGTAGTACATGATAATTGACAAAAGGAAACAATAGCAAATAGGTCGAAGCCATACCCATGAAGCCTGCAGGGTAAGTCTTATCAGTGCGAACCTTTGGATCAACCAAAACATGTCGCTGCATCAAAATTGCAATGACTTCACGGTGTGTAAAAGGGCATACTTCAACTTGTTTCACAAGATGAGGATTAGTGGCAAGCACTCCCTAGACTTGTGGGGCCCAGATGAAGGCTTGGGAGCCTACATGAAGAAATAGGAAATCTCACAACCAAAAGCATTAGTGAACCAAATAACCAACAATCACCCAAAATCTTCACTTACAAATGCACCCCAAGTTTATCAAGCATCCAGTGCTTTGGGGCATTAAGCCTCTTCGGATGTTTCTTCAAACCTTTAGCTTGTAGCACACCATAAAAACCAAATCTCAGCAACCACAATAACATTGACATATTATTAAAATTGAATGAGAAAATATGTCAATAAATGCTATAGACTAGGAAAAAATCATAAAAAGAGATCATAATACATCACCTCAAGCCCAACACAGAAGGGTAATTCTGCTTCTTTATCCATCTTATCTGTTGATGAATCTTTATTGTCCAAGTATACTGAGTAACCAACACATCCATACTTGAAATCCTTAAGAGTACGACCCTCTTTTAAAGCTTCCAACTCAGTTTCTCCCACAACATACCTGGGGACTGGTCATACACCTTAAAATCAGGGCATATTTTTCAGAGTTTCAATAAATAAAACCCTTAATCAGAATGAAACAGGCAGTAAACTTTAAAACATAATTCTTAAAGATTAGAAAGGAAGAAGACGCCAGTATGTGCATGCCCAAACACAAATGCGTGTATAGAAACAAAGAATGGAAAGAAGCCAAGAAATTAAACAGCATTAGCATCGTATGGACATCGAGTCTAAACATTAGGCAGTAATTCATAGCAACAATTACAAACACTTGAAGCACCAATACAGCAAACAAAGCTATAGTTAGTCCCTAATAAAGTAGATTAATTAGCACAGTTAACCAAACTCACAGCTTAAACACTCCCCAGCCTTCTCCACCGTCAAAGCTTCGATACAATCTTCCCCACAATTATCCTAAACACAACCCAGTTTAATCTTTACACTTTATTTTGTTATACTTCACCAGAGAGACCAACAATAAGAATTTAAAGTGTAAAAAAAAATACCATAGTTGCGTTGTTGTTCTCAACGTTGTTGGTGTTGTTCTGGTTGCAGTTCTCTTCACTGCCCTTATCTTCTTCAAAACCAAGCTTTTCATCCCATTTTCGAGTCATTTGATACTTCTTTATCAACTATTGTGGAGAGAAATAGAACTCAAATAAATACATAGAAATATAACATTAGCCAGACAGTCAAGTCTTAATTGTAAGAAGAAAGAATGTATGGTCCAAAAATATACGTCCGAATCAACAGATTTGAGGACAGAATCTGGCATTTTGACTGGCTTCTCCCTCCTCAGTTTTTTTTTTTGTTCTGAATGTGCATGTAGACCACTCACTGTACATTCCTTTGCAAGTATATCTTTTACCATCAAATTCCAATTTACTATTGCAAATTGGGCATCTCCCTACGATCCATAAAACAGCATGTCTTAGCTGTTTCAATAAAATAAAAAAAATTCTTAAAATGATAAGAATCTCAACACACATACATTGTTTATATATAGATGAAAAACATGTAAATTAGTGGATGTTCTAATTGAACTCACCATTTAGTGACAACAACAGGATCTGGGCCAGAGGAGTCTTGGTCATTGACTTCAAGAATCTCAACCATTTGTTCAATAGAGAGATTAAACTCAATAGCTTTACAGAATTCTTCAAACTCCACATCTATAACATCAGATTCTCCAGCTTTTCCATTAGTCTTGCCATTGTCATGGTCTTGCTTGGCCTTGTTTAGAGATTGCTCCACATCATGTGTTTTGTTTTCAACTTTCTACTTCCTTGTCATCACTCTCTCTTCATCAGCAGATGCATGAAAGTGTGGCCTTGTTTTGTGAACCTTAATATTTACAAAACATTCCAACAAACAAAACAAAACATCATCAACCCAACAAACTAAATGGTGTGTCCAACCACCAGCACCGTGTGGGTCTCATCACAGTCGGCGTTCGTCTCATCCAGCAAGAAAGATGTTGGAATTAGTAGTTTTTCCAGCACATTTGATCCATCCTTCTTCACTAACCTCTTCCTAGGCTCCA